GGCCCTCAATAAGACGGTGAGTGGACTAGACCAGCGGGATACTGCTGAAGCGGAAGAAAGCGCTGCAGGAAGCCCCATTTTGCAGTGTTATCTGCTGATTTCTTGGTTACTCTGTTTACTTTGAATCATAAAGTATCGATTTTCTTCTATGATTATTTGTAGGCTTCATTAATCAGAGAAAGCAGCTCCGTTCACCGGGCCCCCACCGCCTGCTAGGGCGGCAAACCACTCGAGGCCGGGCACTCCTTTACTTTTTGCTGTTTCCTCGGAGTTTGTACTTGGTTGTTTGCTTGCTGGCGTTTATTTGTTGTAATATATATTATTTGCACTTCATTAGGGGTTCACTGGACTGCGAGGACTTGGAATTGGGCTTAATGGGATGCAGTTCTCGATCCGAGCACTCACCTGTGCGACCCCTCATGTACACTGAGTTATCAGGCATTTGCACGACCTCACCTTTTTCCTGTTGGCTTGCTCTCCAACTGGTTAGATGATCGTTTGTTAACCCAAGATGACCGTATTTTTCGGTTTACCTAATCGAGGGGGTGTATGCGCAAGAGCTCGTGTGAGTTTGTGCCTTATCGTGCTTTTGGGGGGGCCTTTAGGCGTATCTTCTGATGTGTGGCTTGAACCGGACTGGATTGAGGGCACTTCATCTTCTCGGCGTTCTGTCGGTTCCTTTCCCGGTTCTCATTCGAGTTTTATTGGGAACTTTGAGGAGGTAGGAGACGAGGAAGGGTCAAGAAGAGAAGATAAGCAGAGTTTCGTGGGCAAACACTTCGATGATGAGGATTCTGGGCTTGAAAAGAAGCATCACAACTACAGAAGCTCCACTACCACCGCCACCCCAACTTCCTGGAGAACTTCTCACGAAGGTTCGCCCCGCACCCCGTCGCCCTTCTCCCTGTGGGACGGACCCGACCTCTTATTGCCTGAAGAAGTGTGGCTCAGTGACGTCTTCACGACAACAACCACAACTACCACAACGACAACGACGACGACGACGACCACCACCACTACCGAAGGCATCCCCCTCGATCCAACATACCCTACGGAAATCGTCGAGGTCGAGGAGCCGAGTGATGCGGACCGCCAGCGGTGCAGGATGACACTGTCAGTCTCCGAAATATCCAATGGGGATACTTCTTATCTGTTTCGGGGCAACTGGGGTGTCTTTATTGAGAATGCAAAAACGGTACTTGTTCAGGCTCTCTCAGAGAAAGTGGAGCGGCCGCCCAGTTGGTTTGGCAGTCGTCTTTGGCGCTTTTTCCGGAATATGCTGTACCCACCTGTCGAATTTTACATATTTCGTTTGCCTCTTCCAGATAGGTGCATTTACCGCCCGAGTGACCCGGTGTCGGGGTCTGCTGCGGTGGAGGAGCCCGATAAGGTGACGCAGATTGTTGTGCAGCTGACTCCCAATGCGAGTGCAACTTTCAGGCCATCTCTGTCGCCGGCGCCCATTACGCCTCTCTTCGCTTCTTTTGGGTTGGGGAAACTAAAACACCTGGGGCAGTGTTTATTCGGTATGGAGGTCATTCGCCCTGTGGACCTTGAGGACCTCGTGTTCTCTGCCTCGGCCCTGACAGCTGTTGTCGAGGCACGAGACCCCAACGGGGGCCCCAATTTGCACCTCGAGACACTGCACATCCCGTGCATCTGCAGCCCACAGAGACTCAGCCTCATCACCTGGTGGGCAGGGACGGGGCCACTCGGCGCCCCATACGTCTTGTTTTATGTTGGCTATGACGGGGTGGGGCCCCACAGGGCTCCCGACCATGCCTGTCGAGACCAGCGAGTACACAAAGTTCCTCTCGAGGACCTCGATGGACCTGTCAACTACCTAGAAACGCCTTTCTTTAAAAAGGTGCAATGAAGCATGATCCTCAACAGCACTCGCGGTGACAGCAGCAACAACTGCACAGTTCCTGCTGCCTCCCAGCCCGCAGAGAGGGGGGCAGTTGGCTCTCGCCGCGCAGTTCTAACAACACCACACAGGGTCGGGGCCAACTAGCTGTGGTCCACTATCAGGCCTGTCGCGCCTCTCTTGTGGAGACGGGGGCTGCTCCCGCTACTTGTCTCTTAGTAGAAGGGGACAGCTCGGTGTGCATTTTTGTCACTGAACCACTGTGGGCTTCTTGGGATCCTCTTTGCTTCCCGCAGTACCTGCCTCCTCCCATCCATTTTGGCCCCGCCTAATATCGATAGAATGGCGAAAAGATGCGGTTGTTTTAGGCCTTCGTGTCGCACTGGCGTCGCGGGGTGTACACACAGACGGCGGCCGGGTGTACTGGCACCGGAAGGCCACGACAACCCTCGTGTAGTCGACGTGATGTTCAAATCAACCCCTAACCTTAATACCCGAAGACCTAAAACTCCAGTATTGCCTCTGTAGCGACTTTCTTAGCGACTTGAGCTAATTAGGCGTCGAGTCGCGGAAGAGTGCAAGAAACTGACAGAATAGTTCAGGTGCACAGTAGGTAGTAGGCTGTTTCCGTTCCTGGTTTCTCACGGCTTCAACTTTGCCTCTTTTCCTGCCCTCATGAATGCTAATAGACCCCTAATAGGAGTCAACTACCAGAAGAAGTGCAGGAAGGTGCAGCACGCAGCGCAACAAATACAAGCGAGGAGCAAACGGAGCGCGCGTGCACGCACCTGCAGCAGCAGTTGCATCCGATACGCTATACAACAAGAAACATGGTCGAAAACTAATAGAGACAAAAAATGGTTGACATGCACCCGTTTCGCCAGGGTCTGCAACGGCTACTCCCGGCCCGCCTCAAATATCTACATATCAGGGAACAGAGGGGAATTGCACCTACCATTTGCTGCACATTGGCCTTTCTGCCTCTCAGCGCGCTCGTCTGACGCAACAGCAGTAGCAGCAGCAGGTAGAGACCTCTGCAGAGGAGCTCCATGAGGGAGCACGGGTGGAACCCTTTGAGGGGACCCCGGAATCAACTTGAAGACAGACGCAGAGTAGGGGGCCCCCTGCAGGACCGTCTTCAGGGCGCCTAAATCTTTCGCGACGCAAACGAGGACCTCCGTAACCGACGCGGGAAGGCTGTGAACATCACCCGTATAAATAGGACCCGACGTAGTTCCCTAAGACGCTGCACAGCAGCAGCAACAGCAGCAAAACGGCATCTTTGGCTGCAACATCGGCGCAGCAGCCTTAACAACTCAGCAGAGGACGCCGCCCAAAACAGCGCAAAAAGCCGTCAGCTTACTCATTGCACCCCTCAGCAACAGATGTAAGGGCCTGGCGCATCGCATCGATGTGGCTTCCCAGTAAACCCGCTGTAGAAGACTCCCCCCTGCAGCAGCAGCAGCAGCAGCAGCAGCAGCAGAATTCACTGCCAATTGTATGTGCAGTTACGGAATACGTTAGTACTCAGTTAGTAGCTTACGACGAGTCGAACGCAGCATCTGTTACCGAAGTCCTCGCAAAAGCGCTCTCCTTGCGCCAGCCTTGTTTGCTAGACGCTTCGCGGGGCTGCTGCTGCTGCAGCTGCGGGTTGCTGATGATGGTTGGCGTGAGGGGCGGCGGCTGCTGAAGGAACCTCGGATGACCTTCTGGGTGTCTTATTGCCCCCTGGACACCAGGACTGGAGCTGCTGCTGCTGCTGCTGCTAACGCCGCCGTGGTTGTTGATGCTCTTATTGTTGCTGTTGCTGCGGCGGCCGCTGCTGCAGCGGGGAGCGGCAGCCGCAGTAGAGGTCATGGTAGTCCCCTTTCGAATAGCAAGAGACAAAGCGACTAAACACTGCACAGATTCAATAGGGGGAAACTTCAGCAAACGGCGAAGACAGCTACTGTAATCACTTTCTAGCAATTGCTGGCGAATGAACTTCAGCATTGCTATCGCGAAGTAATCGACAAGAGGAAGCTTCTTTGTGGCTGCAGCGGCGCATTCCTCAGGCGTACGTGCTCCTCCTGCTGCAACGTCACCTCTTGCTGCTGCTGTTGTGACTGCTCCTGCTCCTGCTGCGCCTGGTTCTACGCCTTGCTGCTCGACGGAGAGCCAGGCGTCAGCCAAGAGGGCGTCCCAAATGAGCAGAGTGTCTTCAATATGGAATTCGCGAGAAAACAAAAGCCGCAGCCACCGTAGCAAAAACAGCTGCGGCTCCACGCCGAGTTCATTCAGGTGCAAATACACTTCAGGATCCGCCTTCCGCAGAACAACATCAAACACCATATTGCACCTGTGCAGCACTGCAGATGTTGCAGCCGCCCTGGGGGGACCCGGGGGACCCGGGGGCCCCAATAGAGGGCCAAGAAGATTATTCTTGGGCGGAGAAGCCGGCGGCTCCTTCTGCGGAGGGAGGTACATGAAGCGCATGCAGCAGCCTGTCATGAGCCCATCAAAGAGGCAAAATGCATCTGCTTCTATGTCTGCTGGGTCTGCCGAAAAGATGACTGAGAATGGAGTGGAAGAGGCCTCCCCCGCAGGCGGAGAAGGTACTGCCTCGCGAGCACAAGCAAGATATAAAACCGCCAAGATCTCATTCATTCCTTGTTTGTAAGACACGTCGCTGTTTTTCTTAGCCCAGGTAAACAGGACCCGCTGCAAAGAACGTCGCGTCCCCTCCTTGTTGAATAGCTGCCGCTCAGGGTACGTTCGCTCTATATCTCTCCATATCTCCTCTTGTAGCTCTTCATCTGCCTGCCGTTGGCTCCAGGGGTTGCCTGCTGTGGCAGCTAGAGGGTGAAATCGCTGCGGGTCTAGCGTGGCTAGCTGGCTAGCTGACAGTTGCTGCTGCTGTCGGAGAGAACGGTAGCGCTGTCGCTGCTCTTGCACCTGATGAGCCCAGTCCTCGAGTGTCTCTCCACTCAGCAGCCGCAGAAGCCGTGCCCAGTGCAGCCTCCTCAGAAAGGGCACCGCCGGAGAACTACTGTCTTCTGCCTCCTTGGCGGCCTGTGAAGGGGCCGCCTCAAGCTCCCGCTGCAGACGCACGATATCCAGCTGCTGACGGCCCACTGCATCATCATACAAAACATGTTGTGCCAAATCCTTCATGGAAGAACTCGCAGATGAGCCCTCAACAGCCCGGGAGAGAGCTGCAAGCACCTCAGGCGAAAGCTGGAGCAGCGCCACCTCCTCTTCAAGTAGATTATCCTCCATTTTCTCGCCGTCTACGCCTAGCTGCCACTTGCTGTCAGTGGAGTAGGCTAGCCAGCTACCAAGCTGGCTAGCTGTCCAGAAAGCAACGGGCAGCGGTCGACGAGGAAGCTTTCTGCTCAGGAGCCCGTGGGCCCTAAGGCTGCACCTTTCCCCGCCGGCCTTTAGCAGAGGTGTGAAGCGTCTTTGAGGGCCCCTCAGAGAACACCCGACAACCCAGAAGCAGAAGAGTCGGTGGTTCAAGCGGAGGTTCGCTTTGAGGTCCTTACGGAGTCACCAGAAGTACACGCAAGTTCTTGCGCATGCAGAGAGATTCCTGCAGCTCGAGAAAGTAGGGAGAAGGTTTCGAATTTGCCATTGAATCCGTCAAGCGGGAAAAAAAGACGAAGACGCCGCCGCTGAAACGTCCGCAAGCTTTCAGAAACCAGGCACTCCACTCCCGCAGGCAAAACGGAAATAGGGAAAGTTAAACGCGTGGCAAAAAGCAGCTAAGACAATTGAAGCCTTATAGCTCATAACTAACCGCCGTTTCATAAGCATTCAATTATGCAGAAGAAATACATGCAACTCATGAAGCGACCTGCGGAGAGCTGCTGTTGTGGGCCTGGACTGTTCAGTTCTGCCGAGGCAGGGCAAAGCGCTCGGTGCCCCAAAAGATGAAGCTGACTAGCATATTTCTTCATTATTTTAGAAATGCCAGTATAAATCACTTGCCTTTTTCATGGTGTTTACGCGGAACCAGGCGGCTCACCGAGAAACGGCTTACCAGCTGTCGCCGGAGACAGCACATCCGTGCTCACTGTAAGCGGTGCTGCTCCTCCTTATTGCATTGCTTGCTTTAAAGTGCAAATTTTTATGTCCCCATCATTTTGGAAATCTAGATTGTTTGTAATTAAAGGCACGGAGTGGAGAGCGAACGCTTGAGCGCGAACACTTGGCTTGCGTTGCGGCTGACCGGAAACACACTTTTTAGCATGGCCTGTTCAAAGTTGGTCAACGATTACTTATTTGGCCTTTGTTGGCAGCCTGAAAGCAAGCGGAAGTACAGCAATTGCATGCAGTGCTAGTGCAGACCGCAGGAGGTGATTCGATTGTACATGCATGCAAAGGTGCCTTGCAGCATTAGTTACAAAACGTGCAATACATTGTGTCAGGCTGCCTCTCCCCACCCCAGTCTCAGGCCACTACACGGGTGTGCCTAGAATGCCACACTTGAAGGAAGAGTGGTTAAAAGTACCAAGTAACGAGGAGTTTCCAGTTTGCTGTCACCCTCTGCACGCCTCGCACACTGCATCGAGCTCCCTTTCGGCACAAGCGCAGGCTTTTTTCCGTGTTTTTGGATACCTCCTGACCTTCAAAAGCAAGCCAAGCGGGAAGCGGATGAACTACTAAGCAGCGGCAGGGCTCAAACATCAACTAGCGCGTTCGAAGACAATCCGGTGCTGGCGAAGAAACAGGGCGGGACTTGGCGGCACTGCGAGATAATAGAAGTGGAACAGAATGTTCGGAAACGTGGACGACGAACAGGCTGACCGTTTTGGAGTTCGGCAGAAAGCTGATGTTCTGCTTTCCCTGACACTTTGCTGTAGATTCCAGTACATTTCAACCGCAGAGGTAAAACTACATTCCATACCCGTACTGGCAAACTAGAGTACATGCTTTCCCTCTGCGAGTGCATGCCCACCTGCTGAACTGCAAAGGAAGCTTAATCACGATTTCGCTAGTGAAAAGAGTGAGCGATGGGTGGCGGTAAGCAGCATGCTTGCGTCGGAATGTGCACGCGCATTTGCACCACATGCCGCATGCGCTGCAATTTCCACGTGGGCAGCAGTGGTCCGCAAAATCACGGAAGTGCTTCCTCCTTAGTGCGAACAATTACCTTCGTAGGGTTGTGTGCATCTGCAGCTGGAAACGAACCAAATCCGGTAAAGACAGAGGCCGTTTGGGTGAGGCCGCTAAGCCTGTACACACTCGCGGCTTATTAGAAGTTCGTTGGTCCCATATCTGTTCACAAAAGCTGCATCACTGGAATTGCCTGCGCCATCGCGTGGGCGTTTGCAGGGCTCTGCACTGTTGGCTTGAATACAAATCTCTGAACAATTTCTCTGTTACATATGTCGACGGTCTCATATCTTTCTATCTACATGCTCTTTCGCACCGTTGATTTTTCCGCTGTGATCAACGTCACTTCCTCTATCTGGCTTGGCGCTGCCGCTGGAAATACCTTCATTTTTCAGTGTTTTGGGCACCCCATCCTGGGGTTCGGCAAATCCCCCACTCCACATGCGTTTCGAAGCTACGTTCTGGCGTCAAGTAATTACTTCGGTGTAGTTTGATTGGGGGCTCTGCATTAAACGGCTGCTCTCAACCGTGGCGCCACGCGCTGAGTGCTCTTCTAGACCAGCGGGTAGGCTCCTGCGCGACGCTGCCGCAGCGCCGTGGGGTCGGCAGCAGCAGCATATATCTGTAACACTGGCAGATGATACTACCCGTTTCTCCCGATGTTTTAATTTTCTTGTTCTGCTCTCGAGTCTCTGATTCCTCTGGTGGCTCCTATCCTTCCACAAGGTGCACTATCCCTAATTGGGCATGAAGGCACACGAGAGGCTATTGGCGGAGAGAAGGGAGCAGATGCACCAAGGTGCGTCTGATGTTGGGATATGCGCCCCTATTTGTGTGCATGTTGGTTACTGCAGGTCAATTAAGGGCTCAACAATGCTCTATGGTGAGATCCCATGCATCCATAGGGGGTCCTGTTTGCTTGCTGGCGGGGATGCGCCGCAGAAGGAGGCATGCTGCAACGGCCCCTTTCCCCAGCAGTCTCAAGCCTTTGTGACGCTTTGGCCATGATCTCTCGAGACTGGTTGGGGAGCCAGCTGCATTTTTGGGACCCCTCAGCTATAGCTTTCCAAGTTAACTGCAGTTCACCACGGTCCTCGGCTAATGCCGAGTACTCCCGTTGCACAAACACCACTGTCGGTTGAAAAACACCTACGCGGGCATCAGTAGTCATCCAGTACACAAGTAGAGCTACGCTGAGTAACATAAAGCAGAGCACACTACATCTCTTCTCAAATAATGCTGCTGAACGCAGCCTACTGCAACAACCGCTTAGGCCGCCTCAAATATAGGCAAGCCCACTCCCTAATTCGATGTGCGAATGGGAACCCCACCGTCAGATTAGTTGGCTGCCAGTAGATAATATACACACGAGCGCTGGCACATCACAAGCAGTTAAGGTGGAGCCCGCGGTGCGCCACAGAAATAGTGAGGAGGTACGGAAATACGCATAGTTACCAGCATCCAACTCATTCGTGTTAGCCGAAAAATATCCCAATACTGTCACTCAAGTAATATACTGTGGAGAATAGGCATAGCCTGACACGTTTGCAGTAAGAATCCGTTCCCGTTCGGTCCCTCGCCTTTTGGGGTCCACCAGTATCCAGCACTGAGCATCACCGGGAAAGCCAATGTTTGCAGCCGAAATAATGTGCAGGCTGTAGTAGCAACCATGGGCGCATCAATATATTACGCTTCCATTACGTTTTAAAGCACTAATCTTAGCTGCTAGCCCAGGGCCTACGGGTGCGTTTCCGTCGATCTGTTGACTCG